GCGGGGGGGTGGGGGCACCGGCATTCAGTGGCAGGGGGGAGGGGAAGTGGAGTAATGCAATGCAGCCAGGGAAGCGGACTGGGCTGCAGCTATGTGGCTCCGAAGAGAGGTGGGGAGGGGAGGTTGGCATGGAGAGGAGTCACATGGGGGGGTTGGTCACGTGGCTGGTGCCCCCACCGTGTTCTTCCTCATCAGCTGCCCTTGGTCCAAAGGGGGAGTTACCACGGCTCTGGCACTGCATGGCTACGTCTAGCCCCGGTAGTTCGGACTCCGTGCCTGTGGCTACACGCGGCACGGAGTACGTAGTTCTAATTAGGCTAATTCGAACTACCGTTACTCCTTGTGGAAAAGCATCCGTGCCAATCTAGATGGGCTTTTCTGCAAAAAAGCCCCGCTCGCCATTTTTGCGATCGGGGCTTTTTTGCGGAAGACAAATCTGAGCTGTCTACACTGGCCCTTTTGCGCAAAAGGGACTTTTGCCCGAACGGGAGCAGCATGGTATTTCCGCGAGAAGCACTGATTTCAGACAGTAGGAAGTCTGTGTTCTTGCAGAAATTCAAGAGGCCAGTGTAGACAGCTGGCAAGTTTTTCCGCAAAAGCAGCTGCTTTTGTGGAAAAACTTTGCCAGTCTAGATGCAGCCAATGTGTCCCGGGCTCGGCTCAGCTGCAGCTTCGCCGGGGAGGGGGCTGCAGGAAAATGGGGCCTATGAGCACAGGCTGGCCAGCCCCCATCCCATCCCATCCCATCCCATCCCAAGCCAGCTGCCAGGGATGCAGGAGGGAGCATATGCCTGGGCCTTGAGTGCCCTGCCTGATGGCCAGAGGGAATGGCCGCCCAGGCACGCTGGGGCCGGAGAGGAGCCGGAGCTTCATCCAGGCACCCTAGCTCACAGAACGTGGCAGGCGCACCTGCACCCACCCTCCGTGCACCCTCCTGCAGAGCGAGGGAGCCCCTGTGCACGTGAGCACCACAGCACCCCCTATGGGACCAAGTGTCACCGCCTTGCCCAGAACCATCACCGATCACGAGTGGGGTCCCGGGGCGGCGGGTATCCTGGGTGAGGGAGGGCGCTGCTGTCCTAGGCATGGCCCTGTTCATGCTCAGCTCCAAGAATTTCTACTGTGGGCGCACTGGGTGGATGGGTGGGGGGGTGTTGCCCCTAGTACCCACCCTCCCCATTCTCCGAGCCAGGGAGGCCGGGCCCATGTGCCATCCTCTCCCCATAATGCTGGGGGCGGGAGGGGACGGACACTAGAGCCCCACCTATCCGTGGTGCTGGGGGCAGGGGTGGAGCTGAGGGGCTTGCCTTCCCCATCCCTACCTTCACCCCCTGCCTAGGGCAGGGCCCTTCCAAATTCATGGCCCATTGCAACCAATTCCCCAGGCATAAGATTTGAACATCGGTACAGTTCCTGTTTTCAGCTCTTTAAACCTGAAGTTCCATGGGGGCGTAAGCACGGACAGGCACCCAGAGGTGGGTCTGGCCTGGTCTCCTCTCCCAGCACCAGAGCAGGTTGCAGGGGAGAGAGAGGTCCTGCTCTTTCCTTGCTCAGTGGGAGGTAGGAAGCCCCCTTGGATGGGGTGCCCCTAGGAGCAAGGAGGTATCCGATTTGACAGGGAAGGGCTTACTTCACTGGCCATGACGTTTTTCACAGCCATGAAAGGCACCCAGAGGTGGGTCTGGCCTGGTCTCCTCTCCCAGCACCAGAGCAGGTTGCAGGGGAGAGAGAGGTCCTGCTCTTTCCTTGCTCAGTGGGAGGTAGGAAGCCCCCTTGGATGGGGTGCCCCTAGGAGCAAGGAGGTATCCGATTTGACAGGGAAGGGCTTACTTCACTGGCCATGACGTTTTTCACAGCCATGAAAGTGGTAGGGCCCTAATCATGAGAAGTGGGCCCTCTCCCCCCCAACCTCGCCCTTCATAAAGCGCCAGGAGAAATGCCCCGTCTAGGGCACCCTGGCCATTCTGGCAGGTGGTGGCCGGGGGCCCAAGACTTTCCCAAGGGCTATGTCCTTGGAATCCTCCACCCACAAAATCCAGCAACCACCCAAAAGGGGAAGGAAGCCGACGCCTGCCTTGCCCGCCACAGAGCGCTGTGCCAGCCCCCGGCTCGCCTCCTGGTCACCCAGTGGGGACAGCAGGAACCAGGTGTGGGATTTGTCACCACGGGGCGGGACGTCACCGGGCCCTGCACCCCCCATCCACAGCCGGATGTGACTCAGCCGGCAGGGAGAACTGAAAGTTTATTAGTCCACAGTGTGCAATGGACTGGTCAGCATGAACCAGAAGCCGTCAGTACAGTCCATCTTGGGGGGAGGGGACTTAGAGGGCCCTGTCCCCCATCTCTGCCCCCCAAGTCAGCGACTCTCACACACCCAGCAGCCCCTCTCCCTCTGCAGCCAGTCCTGCCTCCGGCCTTGGTCCAGATTCCAAGGCAAAAGATGTCAGCCGGTCACAACCCCTCCCCCCCGTCTCCAGTAGCCTCCCCAGGAATTGAAATTAGGGGGCGGGTGTTCAAATTTACAGGGGGTGTGTGTCTCAGGGCCAATGAGGGGTGAGTCTGTGAGGGTGAAACTGGGCTTTATGGTACCATCGTTCACAAAACTGGGGGTGTCTTGGGGAAATTCGGGGGTGTGGCTGGGAGGGAGACGCACCGAAATTCTGATCGCCATCTAGCTATTGCTGCAGTGCCCAGGGAAACTGAGGCACGCCCACGGGGTTACTACAGGACAGCAGAAATCCGCTGCAACAGAACAAAGCGAAGCGAGCGTATCCAGTCCCCACTGCCTCACAGGATGGTCCAGGCTTAACAAGAAACTCTGCAAAGGTGGGGAGGATCCACCGTCCTGCAGCAGTTTCTACAGCCGTGTCCCCTGGGGCGCTGCCTCTTAGCCCGTGTCAGGGCCATTGCTGGCGGAGGCTTTGTGCGCTCTTCATCAAAGGGCTGGAGAATCCCTTTGGGGTAGGGCAGGCGGGGAAAAGGCAGCCACCCATACGCTCCCTCAGTCGGGGGGCTGCACACAAATGAGAAGCAAAAGGAAAAACCCAACCCCGCACTGATGTGGCCCCTGCCTGAGAAGCAGAAAGACCCTCCCCACATTCCCCTCACACCCCAGAGCCTTGGGGGGCCCAGGCGAGTAGTTTGTGTGCACCAGCCGGGGGATGTAAAATCCCGTTTAATTGGTGAACCGGTGTGACACTGCTGAGCTGGAATGGCTCCCCGCCTGCTGAGGCTGAGTGGAGCAGCTACCCCTGCCTGTGGGGCGCCATGGACAGGGGCTGCTCCAGACACGGGAGTACCCACGGCAGGCGGGGAGCGGCTCCAGCCCCCACCGGTTAATCAGAACTGGTAAGCCAAACCAGTTCTCCTTTCGCAGCCCTACTCCAGCCCTGCAGAAGCCACCGACGCTGGCGCCCCAATGCTGGGCGGGAACCCGAGCCTCGGGGACTGGATCCAGGCAAGTCAGGGACCGGATCTGGCCCCCTGGCCTTAGGTTCCACACCCCTGCTTTAAATGGCTGCCGGCGTGTGGTGACGGTCCTGCCGAGGGAGAGGAGGGGGGCAGTTCCCAGGAGTGGGCCCCTCACTAAATGCTCTGGGCGCGCCCCAATATCTTCCACAGGGAAAAGAGGCAAAACAAGGCTGAGGCGGTGGGAGCAGACTGCCCAGCTAGCTGCACACGCGGGCGCATTGCCGGCACTGCAGCAGGCCGGGGTGGCCGGTGAACGGAGCCTTGCAAGGAATTGCCATGGAAACGGACCACCGCAGCACAACACTAAGGCCACCAGAGGGGCAAGGTCTCTCCCTGGCCCAAGGATGCTGCCCCGGGGGCTCTCCACCTGCGGTGGAAAGCTGAGCAGGGTCAGCCCTGAGGTGGCAGCCGAAGCCTCTCAGCCTGGCGACGGAGGACGAGACTCAGTGATGGCTGATTATTACACTCCTAGGAAAGACTGTGCAAGCTGGCTTCTCTGTAGCGCAGTGAGCCCCTTTGCCCCCGATGGGGCGGCATGGCATGTCTTATTGCTCAGGCCCTGTGCGTCCGGTGCCCTCGCGTGGCTGCAGCCTACCAAGCGGTAGAGAGAGAGAGAGAGAGAGAGAGAGAGAGTGTGTGTGTGTGTAAAATATGACTCTGGTACCCTCTAGTGCAGTGGTCTCCAACCTTTTTACACCCAAGATCACTTTTTAAGTCTCAGAACAGGCGAAGATCTACTGCCCCGCCCCTTCCTTGAAGCCCCGCCTACGTTACATGAGGAAATCTAATGTAAATGCACTGCGCAGGCGCGCAGTTCAGAGAGGGCTCAAGAGCTACTCTTGGAGCCCCTGAGATCTACCGGTAGTTCGCGATCTACTGGTTGGTGACCACGGCTCTAGTGGCTGCAACCTACCAAGAGGTAGATAGATGTAGGGGGCATGTGCGTGTGTGTGAAAAACATGACTCTGGTGTCCTCTAGTGGTTGCAACCTACAAAGAAGTAGGTATTGGGTAGGATGTGTGTGTTTGTGTGTGTGTAATGTGACTGGTCCCCTCTAGTGGCAGCACCCTACAAAGTGGTAGGTAGATGTAGGGTGTTTGTGTGACTGGTGCCCTCTAGTGGCTGCAAGGGTGTGTGTGTGTGTGTGCGTGTGTGTCTTTTGGAGCAGGTTCTGAATTCAACTCTCACTCCTGCA